AGATCCTGCATGGAATGTACCATCAACAAATAGCTCAGGTGGCAGACATTGGGAAATCTTACCAAGCTGAAAAGGGCTGGATTAAAAGACAGCACTGGGGCACTGATCATAACAGCACAAGAACAAGCACTATGCACCGGATCCATAGAAGCAGGAGTCTCCCACACTAGATAAGACTCAAGGTGCACACTATGCAGTGAGGCCTCAGTCCAACACATAGTGGCAGGGTGTAAGATGCAGGTAGGAACAACATACACTGAATGGTACAATTAAAAAGCTGGCATAGTGAACAGGAACATTTGAACAGTATATGGGCTAGATCCTCTCATGTCCAGATGGGAGATCCTACAGAAGGTTGGAGAATAAGAGGACTAAGATCCTGTGGGACTTCCAAATCCAGATGGACAGGCAGGTACTAGCCAATCATCCCAACATTATGGTAGGAGACCAAATCCAGAAGACAGTATAATGATAGATAATGCATAGCAATGCCAAGTGATAGTGACATTATGAAGAAGGAATATCAGAAGCTAGAGAAGTACCAGGGCCTGAAGGAAGAACTAGTGAGGATATGAAAATAAAGCCAAAGTGGTGACTTGTATGGGTGGTATGTGTCTTCCTCAATATATATACATACAATCTAGTGATAATTAAACTCTTCCTCATTTGAAGGCACCTTGAAAATCAGTGATTACTGAAAGTCAGCATGAATTTATCAAAATGGTCTTGCTCAATTAATCTTAACTCACTTTTTGATCAGTAACTTTCTTAGCAGATCATAATATAGTTTGATTTCAACAAAGCAACTGATTGAATTGCACATGGCCTTCTAATTAGAAAGTTAAGTGGAAACTGGATGGCATTAAGTGGATGTATAACAGGCTCAATGATTGTAGTTAAAGAATGCTCACCATTGATTCCTCAGCACTGTGAAGAACGTACAAACCTGGGATGTAAATTCTTGACTTTACCCTGCAGTGGTCAGATCTCAATTTAAATATTATGTCCTATTCTAACACCTAATATTTAAGAGACATTTAGACATACCGGAATACAGCACTATTCATATAGTTAAAATGCTATTACACAAAGACTGAGAAGAAAGACATGGAGTAATACATTACATTAAGTAATATAGATTCAAACTGAATATTAGAGGAAAAAAATGTTACCATTTGTGTAACAGTGGAGCTAATTACTTGCTAAGCTGGAGCATTCTCCATCATCAGAAGAGTTTAACTAATGGTTATTGTGGATATTTAATTTGGATTCCTAGACTGAGCAAGGCAGAGGGACCCAGACTGAAATAACAGTTCCTCTATTTCTGCATGCACACGCTGTGAAGATTTTTTGCAATCTAGTAAAATACCACATTAAAATTTACATAAGTTCAGGGATATAGTAATATATAACCATCATCCTTACTTAGTATAATTGTAAAGGAAGATATTTATTCTGTTGAAACTATATCAGAAAATCTGAAGCAAATCCTTATTATCATGGGAGACAGCAAAGATATTTTAAGGGAATAAAACATCCCAGGAATTTTCATCCTTAGAAAGCACAAGAAATGGGTTTTATCAAGCTTGTATGTCTTTTGTATGTCATTATACATTTTGTAGGACTGACAAAAGCAGATTAACTCTAAAAAAAACTCTACAGTTGCTTTGCCCATCCATAGGTCCTAAGTTTATTGGCTTGCTGGGACTAAGGGTGTTATACTCTCTAATTCAAACAAACGATTCATTAAACCAACAGGGTGCTAGATTTAGCTCCAAACAGACTGAACCTTTTTCAAGGACTAAACTAAACCCTCTACTGGACTCGCTGGGCAAACAAAACTCCAGCCTGTTTCCTCAATAGTCTTTACCCATCCTTAGAGCCATATTAGGATTGAAATGTTTACCAAAAGGAGAATAATGTGTCTCCAGTTTGTCCAAGATAATGCTAGCTCCAAACATATTCCTGAAGGTTTGCTCTCCTCCAGAGAAGAACAGAAATGGACAGGAAGTAGAGAGAGAAATGATACTCTTCTTTGTAGCAAATGAAAGTAAAACAGGGTCATCCCAAGATATAGCCATCTTGTTCCTGGGCTACATCTACTGACTGGGAGAAGAGACAGTTGAATCTTCAGGCAAATGGAATCACAGAAAATATATAAAACTGAAATAGCTAAGAGAGCTCCAGAGTCTTTAGTTGTAGCAAAATGGATATTTATAATAAAAGTAGACGTGGTTTTAATTCTGTGAGTGCAATAACATGTATTTTCTTTTAGGTAAACAATTGCAGATGCCTAACTAACATCTTCACCATTGTGGAGATAGGGTGGGCAAATTTAACTTTCCATCACCCAGCAAATCTTCTAAATATGCTAATTGCCTTTAGAAAGATATTTCCATCTAAAAAGCCATTAAAAAGAAGCTTCACTTTAATTTTTTTCCACAATTTTAAAACTTTAAATTATCTGAATAATTTAGCAAACTCTATCTATCACATCCAAATCAAAATTTGGAAGCTTAAGTAAAAGAAAACAATTGCCTTGAATAACCTCGTTCCTTCTGAATGATCAAACACCAACTTGGATGTGCTGATTTGTTTAGCACTGATACAAGAAGCAGGAGAGTGGATGCTGGCAATACTGGAAGTAAACTGTGGGATCTGCAAAACCATTATCTTGGTGCCCTCACTATCTAAGGCTAAAAAAATGGGCAGCTATCAGCCCTCCACTTCATTGTAATGTTACAATAACAGAATCTTGCAAATCTGAAACCAATTCTCCCCACTTTTACTTTTCAGAAAACTAGAAAGGATCTCTTATGAGATGTTTCTTACAATCCTTTTCCTTCTATGATCTGAGATATATGACACTTGACTAGGCTTCAGCTCATCTTCTTGTTTCCCAAGGTCATTTCCACAGACCATTACATCAGCAAAAAAGCCTGTTACCACATAAAGCTAGGAGAAAAAGATACTGTTTAAATTGTAGAACTGCTCTATCTATCATCTTTCATCTATCAATCTACCGTCTATCAATCTATCATCTATCATTTATCATCTATGAATCTATCATCTATTGTCTATCAATCTATTTATCATCTATTATCTATCATCTATCATCTATATATCTATCATCTATCATTTATCATCTATCAGTCAATCTATCATCTCTCTGTCTGTCTATCCTCTATTCTCTATCATCTATCAATGATCTATCTCTCTATCTATCTGATTAGCTAGCTAGGTAGGTAGCTATACACACAGAGAGAGAGGTAGTCCTTGCTTAATCACAAATGAGACCAGCAACTCCACCATTAAGTGAAGCAATCCCTAAGTGGGAAATCATGTGACTACAACTGTCCTTTCTGGCTGGAAAGAGACAAGGCTATTCAGATTCACACCTTCAGCTTTTCTTTGCCTTCTAACCACATCCCTGGCCCTTTGGAATGCTGGAGTGCCTACTTATTGTCTCCTGCACATCAAAAGCAATGCAAGCATCCTGCAGCTTGGGCTTGGAACCCAGAGGAACATTATGCAAATAGCTTAGAGTATTCTCTTGAAATCTCTCCCTCTCCAATCTCTCAGGACAATGCATACTGACTTAATGGCTATCGTGTGACCAGGGAAGTAGCAAAAGTCATAAATAATCTTAAATGGGCTGTAAAGTTATTTTTTCAGCATTGTCATAACTTTGAATGATTGCTGAGTGAAGGAAAGTGAAGAGTACCTATAATAAGATTTCTAGATTCTGCAGTAACTGATCATAATACTGTAATATTTTTTCATCTCCAATAAAAATAAGTACTGAATGAGTCCTGGATTCTAACCTGCTCTATACTTTCTTACAGAATGGGCCTGTTGCTGAAACATAGGCATCAAAGAATGTTTGCTTTATATTAATGGGCAAGTTAGCATATATTGGGGATGAGAGTTCTGGAAAAATGAGGACCATGGCCAGGGTATATTTTTAAACCAGCAGTTCCCAGTCTCTTGTTTATATGGACCATCATAGTTTTTGCTAATTAGATGTAATTATATTGACAATGTGAGAGATGTAGACCCCCTGGTGTATATAAGTCTCCAAAATGCATCTACAGATCTCTTTTCCAGTCTGGTTTAGGACATGGAAGGCTCAGGTTTAAGACTCCACTCAACTATGGAAGCGCATTAGGTGACCTTGCGTGAATCACTTTCTTTTAATCCAACCCATCTCAAAGAGATGTTGTGAGAAAAAGTTGGGGCAGGGAAATACTATGTAGGCCATCTTCAACTTCTGGGATAAAAGTGGAATGCAATTATAACAAACAAATCAAAGTAAATGTAACCATTTTTAAAAAAAAATATTAAATGCCTTCATTTCCTAATATCAATAAATCTTATGAAAGCTAACAAATCTTGCATGATTTGATCTCATGAGATTTGAGGCCTTTAAAAAATACTTTACTTAGAGATCACACATTGAACCATCTCATAGCTGACCACTTTGCAGAGCATGGACAAGATTTTGGGGATCACATTAAACATAATCAGTTTTCTTGAATTTAATCTAGAAGCAAAATGATAAACCCTGCAATTGTCACAGACCAAATAATAGTTGAAGCCTCTGACTAATTTTTAATGATTGTTTCACAATGCTTGTTAATAAAAATGTAAATACATAAATTTCTGATCTGCTCAAAAAAGGGAAAAAATCCTTCTAAGAAGCTGATGATGGAAAGAAGCAAATGTGATAATTAATTCAAGCTAATTCCAGGAGTATGACCAGACTCAACTTTAAAAGAGATATTTACATAACTGCATGTTGGTTACAAAATCAGGTTTGTACCAAAGTAAGTCAGATACAAATCCCAACTTAATCATGAAACTTAAATCTGAGTAACCTATCACATAGGATTGCTATGATTATTAAAACAAATGGAGAAAATTATGTGTGCCATTATGATTCTTTTTAGGAAAAAGACATGAGCTTTAAGTGTAATAATTTTCAGATGAAAATTTCTCACCCAGTCTTCTCTCTGCCAGCCCAAAAGACTTTGCAAGTTTATATTTGAAGTTGCTTCTACTCTCGGTTGATAATGCATCTTGTGTTTTGGGTGTATTCCTTCTAGGTGATTTGTTTGTTTCTTTAGAAATGTTATCCATGTTCTCATAATATACACCCTGAACATCAAAGATATGGTAGAGCCTTAAGTATCTGGTTAAAAACTGGCTCAATACAGACAGAAATTGCTGGAGTAAAAGAAACTATGTTCTCACTACATGACTGACACAGAGATCTGCCTTGCCTTTAACTGACAAACCAATTCTTCTTAGAATTTACACCTTTCATCCTCTATGACATCACTTCAAAAGTAGTCATCTTCATCTTGTAGACTATTCTAAAATAGTCTTGCAATTTTTTTAAACTGTATTATTCTCCCCCTCATATATTTGTAATAACAAAAAATAGAAATGTTAGGAATTGTACAAAGTAAAATGTCTGTCTCCAAGCAAAACAACTGAAAGGAGGGGAAAACATTAAATTCAGGAGCACTTAAAAAAAATCTCAAAAGAAATTGAGGGTGAACTTTATAGAATTTTAATCTCTTTATTACTTTATAAGTAGCTCATACCTAATACTTCTTCCCACAACTACTACTCTGTGAAGTGACTTACAATGAGAAAGAATGGCTAGCTCAAAATCACAAAGCTGACTTTAATGTCTAAGGCAGGACTAGAACTCACAGTCTCCTGGTTTTTAGGCCAACATCTTAACCATTAGTTAATTCAAGGATTCGAGTCAAAGATAATGTTGAGTTCATCCATTTTTTATTTTTCACCTTTTCTGACAATCTAGCTTTCACAGTCACATGGTACTGATGAAAAATAAAATGATCATGGGAATAGATACTCAGAATTTGCAAATATGCTTGTGAAAAGCATTTAATATTTTGTCTAGCTTTATCATAGTCTCCAAAGTAGCTTGTGTCTTTTTACTTCATAGCTACAGTCACTGTCCTCCTTCACAGGGTTGTTGTGGGGAAAAAATCAGGAGATAGCATTATGAGCATTATGAGCTCCTGAATGAGAAGAAGGACATACAGTAAAGTTAATAAATAAATAAAGTAAGCAAGTAAGCTAAGCTTAGAATAATAAAAATTTATCACCACTTCACTTTCTTTTCTGCTTATTTGCACTGGACTGATGTTGCCTGCTGACACAAACTTGACTTCTTTTTTCTTTTCTTTTTTTCACTACTGAGCATCAACCTGGCTTTTGCTAAAGGCAAAAGATTCCTTAAATCTTTCTTGCTTCCAGCTATCAATGTGGTATCCTCAGCACAACTGAGGTTGATGTTTTCCCAAGCAATGTTATTCCAGTTTCTATTTCGTCCTCTTCTAGAATTTGTTGTGTTATATGCTACCTGTAGGTTAAATAAATAAAATAAACATACTTGGCTCACTTCTTTTCCCATTTTTGAAATATTTAGATATTCTGTATTTTGTTCTGAAGCTTTCTAATCATCATGCAAATTCTTCAGCAAGCCAAATGAGATGCCCTACAGCCATGTTTTTAAAGGTTATCTACAATTTGTTTTGGTCTAAATAGAGTCTTTTTATAATTAATAAAGCAAAACTAGGTGTCTTATAGAAACTCCAGTTTCTTTACCTTTATACATCACCTATAGCAGTATGATCTCAGATGGCTCTACTTCTTCTAAATCAAGATTGTACATGAAGCACCCCATTCCAAGTATTGCAAAAATATTTGGTAGTCTTTAGCACTGTTCTTTTTTGATACTGGGAATATAAATGAATTTAGCTCTTTGGCTACTGTTGTGTCTTTCATATTTGCTTCCATCCTGTATGTACAGATAGTCCTCAATTTACAGCCACAGTTGAGCCCAAAATTTATGTTGCTAAATGAAATATTTGTTAAGTGAGTTTGCTCCATTTTACGACTTTTCTTGCCCTAGTTGTTAAGTGAATCATTGCATTTGTTAAGTTAGTAACATGGCTGTTAAGTGAATTTGGCTTTCCCATTGACTCTGCTTGTCAGAAGGTCACAAAAGCGGATCATATGACCCCAGGACACTGCAACTGTCATAAATATGAGCCAGTTGCCAAGCATCTGAGTTTTGATCACATGACCATGGGGATGTTGCAATGGTCATAAATTTGAAAAAAAAGTCATAAGTCACTTTTTTCAGTGCCAGTGTAACTTTGAATGGTCTCTGAATGAACCACTGTGAGTCAAGGACTACCTGTAATGCTTTATCCACATCTCCCTATAAAGTTTTAGAGTTCTGCTGGTATATTATCAACTGTAACTTCACTGTTAACAATACTTTCTAGAGCCTATTTAATTTCACTTTCTACAACATCTGACATTTTAAAATCTTACTTCAGAAGCTATCTGTCTTTGACCTTTGTGTCAAAGTTTCTGCAGGAGAAAAATCAGAAATAAGAAATGATAAACAATTTGTCTACTCTGTTCACGCTGGCTTTTTACAATTTACAATAAAAATGGTCACGTAGATGAGGATACCTTGACTCCATTGTTGGGGTGCCCCATTGTTTGAAGCACCCAATCCAATTCATACAATATTGGAGTCTTGTCAGAGACAATTTCCTAAACCTGTAACTTAAGAGACAGAAGATTTTTAAGTATATATGTGTATTTGTACGCGTAAGTGTGTGTATATCAATGTTAATGACATAATCAAAATCAAAAGTAAAAAAACATAAATCAAAATACAAGTATATATAAACTGGAAATCTAAACATTCAAAAGCAATAGAACCAATACATCATGCAAAGAAATAGTCATAACAATCCTATTCTATGGTTTGGCAAAACAAACAAATCTTTAGAATTTTATAACTGAAGGCTGATTTGGTGTCAGTTTTTGAACTGGGACCAGAATTGGGTAGAATCATTTAGTTCTACTTTAGTGTTTAGCCAACATTTTCTAGTAAGCCCTAAAATTGAGTGGATTCTTGAGAGAATACTTCCTTTTTCATTTTATTGTTTTTTTGTGATTTCTACTTTCAACTTGAACTAAGAATGATACTTTAAAAGGTTGTGAGGTAATGGCAAAAGGTCAGGAATACATTGATGCTGAATGAACATGGATGAATGGAATATGGTATGTTCAGGTGATTTCCTCATACAGAGAGAATGAATTCAGAATAAATTATTAAATTATGAAGGAGGAGTGAATAGATTAAGACAAACAGGAAAAATGAACATTGTGTTTGGATATAATTCCTCAAGATAAAAGAGATGGGAAATTTAAAGACCAAAAGATGGATTTATTTATTTTATTTTAAAATTTATTGTCCACCTATAGCACAAGGTAACACTATACACATATAGCAGAAGGAAGAATTGTTTGCAAGCATAGAAAGACATGAAAATATTTTTTATGCTAAATTGCAATGTTATGAATTACATTTTGCTGTATTTCCCTTTTTTTATATCAATTCTTTGATCTTTTTTCATTACTATTTACTCCTTTCTTGCTCTTTGTATAACATTGTTTAAGGAATACATTTTTAAATTATTATACAGATAATAAAAAGACCTTGAATATCTATTCACATCATCAAAACATATTTTTTGACCAAAACCCAAAAACCTATTAAAAACTTAAATATTATGGTTCAGCTTTGAGGCTAATTGGACAACTTATCTAGTTTAATGGATGTCTATGTCTGAAAATGAAAATGAGATTTGTAATTAAATATTGAAGAAATGTTCATGTCTTCTTTGATTATGTATTGGAATAGATTTTGAAAGAAATCAGGGGAACATCTGTTTATGGTTTGTAAACTAGAATTTAATATATGTTGAAAATTTAAAATATCAAAATGAACTAAAAGTTTGCATTTATGTTTAGTTTTATTTTATTTATGCTATTTATATACTACTTTTCTACTTAAATCAGTTATTCAGGATTTATTTTATAATATTATGTAAGTAAAATAATACACAAATTTGACAGTTTGCATTATACATGATTCTGATCTGGTTTAGGGCCATGAATGTTTGAAGCCTTTTTTTAATACTAATTGTGATTTAGCTTAATTTATGAATGGGGATTATTGATTGTTTATGCTTTTCTGTTTTATATTTGGTTTGATTTTGTGCCTCATCCTAGTCTCTAACTAGCTCATTGAAGTAGGAAAGGAAAAGACGACAAATCAGAAAGAGATAAAACAAGCCATTATTTGTTGTTCATCTGACT